ATAGAAGAGGTGGAAAGATCTCCAAAATCATTCTTTGAAGTCAGGATTACCTTGAAATGACAACCAGACAGAGATATCACAAGAAAAAAAACCCCTACAGATCAATATTCTTTTTCAACATAGGTGCAAAAAATTCTTAACAAAATGCTAGCAAGTCAAATCCAACAGCATATAAAAAGGACTATATACCTTGATCCAGTGGTATTTATCTCAGGAATATAGTGTTAAATGACATATAAAAATCAATGTAATATACCATATAAAAAGAATAATTTTGACTCCCCAAATCTTAATTGTCCCTCAGTATCCATGAGGAATTTGTTCCAGAGCCCCGATGGGAACCAAAATCTATGGATGCACAAATCCTCTATGTAAAATGGCATAGATCGATGCATACAGTTGACCCTGTGCATCTGCAGACTCCTAATTGTAGATCAAAAACAGCATAGAGCCCTGGCTGGTGTGGCTGAGTGGACTGAGTGCAGGCCTGTGAACCAAAGGGTTGCTAGTTTGATTCCCAGTCCAGGGCACATGACTTGGTTGTGGGCTAGGTCCCCATTGTGGGGTGTGTGACAGGCAACCACACATTGATGTTTCTCTTCATCTCTTTCTCCCTCCCTTTTCCTTTCTCCAAAAATAAATAAAATCTTTTTAAAAAAACAGTGGAGGTATCTACTGAAAAACATTAATGTATAAGGGGACCTGTGTAGTTCAACCCTGTTGTTCAAGGGTCAACTGTAGTTCACACCTTCAGTTTCCTCCAACAGATTCATTTACAACAGCTCCTTCCAAGTCCATAAAATGTATTGCCTTCCTTTGTTTCTCCTGAACTTGTGTGTGGTTCGCCATTAGACCGTATGTCACAAATTGCAATTCTTTGTTGTTACCAAATAAACCCATTTTGCTGGGAAAATATCTGGATGTCTATTTACTTAAGGTCAACAAGGGCATTTACCAAAAGCCCACAGTATTTTATTTTTTTTAAACACCATACTTAATGGTGAGACTGAAAGCTTTATCCTTATGATCAGAAACAAGAGAAGGATGACTATTCTCACAACTTCTATTCAGCAATGTACTGGTGGTTCTAGTAAATGCAAAAAGTTAAGGCAAACTCAAGAGATGCAGAAAAAGCATTGACAAAATTCAACAACCCTTCATGATAAGAACATTCCACAAACTAGAAATAGAAAAGAACTTCCTCACTTGATAAAAAGTATGTATATATGTTTTTAAAAACCCATAGCTAATGTCATACAAATGGTATTAAAGCCCAAAACTTTTCCCCTTAAGATCAGGAACAAGACAAGAATGTCTGCTTTTACCACTTCTATTCAATATTTTTCAGAAGTTCTACTCAGGGCAATTATGCAAGGAAATGAAATAAAAGCAACCCAAACTGGAAAGGAAGAAATCAAAATATCCCTACCTGCAGATAATATAATCTTTTTTTAAAAATATTTTACTTATTTATTTTTAGAGAAAGGAAGGGAGGGAAAAAGAGAGGGAGAGAAATATCAATGTGTGCTTGCATCTAGTGCACCTCCTGCTGGACACCTGGCCTGCAACCCAGGCATGTGCCCTGACTGGGAATCAAACCAACGACCCTTTGGTTTGCAGGCTGGAGCTCAATCCACTGAGCCACACCAGCAAGGGCAGATAATATAATCTTGTGTATAGAAAATCCTAATCATAAGGAATGCACTAAAAATCTGTTGGGACTATTAAATCAATTCAGTTTAGCAAGGTTGCAGGACTAAAGATCAATATACAGAAATAATTATATTTTTTTAAAAGCAGCTGGTTTATTCTTTTGATTTATTGTATGTATTAAAAGTTACTTTCTTGAGATGGCACATTGGCAGGTTTAGTGTTTACCAAACTAAGAATATTTAAAAGTTATTGTTTTTGAAAGTTTGGTTATCCAGCAAAAATAATTATATTTCTATATGCTGACAATAAACAACCCAGAAATGAAATTAGGAAAATAATTTCCATTTACAATAGCATAAAAAGAATGAAATCCTTAGAGAAAAATTTAATGAAAGATGTATGAAACTTATACACTAAACACTTTATAGTGTTTTATAACATATTAAATAAAAATAAATGGGACAACATCCTGTTCTCATGTACAGAATGACTTAATATTGTTAAGGGAATACTCCCCAAATTGATCTAAAGTTTCCACACTGTACAGGGTATGGCAGAAGTAACACTTGCGTGAGAGTGGTTGGTAGGGTAATAATACGGGTGTAATAATTTATAGTTTTAATTTGAACATTTCACCTAAAATGCCATATGGTATGCTTGAGTATGATATTGTTATTTTACAGAATTACATGCTTATGATTTTGTAATAAAAGATTTTGTAGCCCTGGCTGGTGTGGCTCAGTGGACTGAGTGCCGGCTTATGAACAAAAGGGTTGCCAGTTCGATTCCCACCCAGGGCACACGCCTGGGTTGTGGGCCAAGACCCCAGTAGGGGGCGTGCAAGAGACAATGACACATTGACGTTTCTCTCCCTCTCTTTCTGCCTCCCTTCCCCTCTGTCTAAAAATAAATAAATAAAAATATTTTTAAAAAAGATTTTGTAATAAAAAATGGGCGTTATTTGTGCTGGACACTGTATATCAAAATCTCAGTTGCCTTTGTTGCAGAAATTGACAAACTGACACTAAAATTCATGTGGAAATGCAAGGGATTAAGAATAGTCACAACAGTCTTGGAAAAGAAGAGCAAAGTTGGAGGCCTCATTCTTCCTGATTTCAAAAAATATATATAAAATTACAGTAGCAAAGACTGGTACTGGTATAAGGATAGCCATATAGATCTATGAAATAGAATTGAGATAAGTACATGAGAAACTAATAAATGAAAAATGACGGTAACTAACTTCAGGAGACAAAAAGCTATTCAGATAAATGAAAAATGATCCAAGTATTCATGGCTTAGCCATGAGTAGCATTTACATAGCTATAATTATGTAAATATTAGATGACCTAACCAATATTAGGAGAAAGGTGAAAGGGTGGGTGGGGGGTGGAGTGGAGAACTTAAAGTAAGAAAATACTTTAGGTGGGCCAAAAGATTATGTAGGTAATAGAGGGCTAAATGTTCATTCTGTGTGTTTCAAATTGAGTTACAATTATTTACTGAACTGAGAAATCAATTTAATGGATCACCACCAGCATTTTTTACAACAAGAATAGAGACATCAAAGTGCATTGCACACATTAAGGATAAGTATCTTTTTCTTAAACTCATTTGGGTTTATATATATGTACACACACACACACACACACACACACACACACACACAGAATGATGTAAAATGTATTTCTTCATGTCTCAATTAAAGCTGCTTGAACACTGGCTGGTGTGGCTCAGTGGTTTGAGGACCAGCCTGGAAACCAAAAGGCTGCTGGTTCAATTTCCAGTCAGGGCACACGCCTGGGTTGCAGGCCAGGTTCCCAGCATGGGGCACACGAGAGGCAACCACACATCGATGTTTCTCTCCCTCTTTCTCTCTCCCTGCCTCTCTCTCTAAAAGTAAATAAATAAAATATTTTTTAAAAAGCTGCTTGAAAAAACAATGCTTTATGTACTATAGGCATGTATTACTTTAATAAAAATATAAACCTAAAGGAAGATTCAAACATGACAATTAATAAGTTTAATTTAATTAGCATATATCCTAATTCGAACCACCGAGAGAATTTTTGCCATTTGAAACCATTTATGCAGCATCATTTAGTTGTTTAGGAATAAAAGTCATTTCATCACTATATAGGTGGCAACTGCTCATACTCTTTGGTGTTAAACTTAATTTTTGAAAATGTTTTTCTTTGTGGTTGCATTTATGGAACCAGTTCCACATATCAATCAAGTCATATTGAAAATAAAGACCAACTACTATGTACATTATTCTTATGTCTCTGTTTTATCAACTATATTTGTACTAGCTGTCTGAACAAATTTTATATGCAAATCGTATAGTTAACTAGTAACGTAAAAATATTTATTGTGAATTTTTAAAATTACACAACACCAAAACATTTCAAAAACTAAAGTACAGAAAAGGAAAATAAGGAGGAAAAAAGTCATATTCAATCACATAACTCAAATAGCTTATGTTGATGTTCCAGTGTCTAGTTTTCCATACTTACCTATATAAATGAACATGTCCATAAATCTTTATGAGGTTTATATAAGATAAAAACAATTGGGAAAACAGAGAGGAAATATGTCCAATATATAAATTATGCTTTTGTAATTTATTTCTCAAGTAATAGTGTATTCTTTACACTGAATGCTTTAATCGTGTTGTTTTATAACTTAAATGGTTGTGATTATGTTGGAAACTAAAATTACTGAAATAAAATGGGCTAAATTATGAGTAAATCTTCTCACTGTGGCATTTTACAGATTTTTTTCTGTCTATAGCTCATATCTTTATGGACATTTGTATTTTATTTATTTATTTTTTCATAAATAATTATTGATTTGGATATTTAAGTATGTCAGCTATCTCCCACTATTGGCTTCCAGTGAGTAGTGCATTTTATTTTTAAAAACAAAAAGTGGGTTACTCTAATTTGTTATAATTTCTTTCATTTACTGGATTAGATAATTCATAGTACATACATAAAAACTGATTATCTACTAAATAGACTACAAAGAAGGCCTAAGTCTTAATTGTAATAAATCCTACAGGGCACATTTTGTGAACAGGGAAGGAATCAAACTCAAATGTAATGACCCAAGGTTGTATTTTTAAAAAACTCACGTGCTTTGCGCTTCATGGATAAGAAGAAAATCAGGAAGGAATGGCAGTTGGAATGGCTGTGACGCATGAATGGGACTGTGCACAATCCTTGTGTGACGTTTTGGAGGCCCCTAGAGGAAAGCAGCCATTCCTTTCTAAGCCACACTGAAGGGAGCTGTGTCGGGTCCTCCGGGGCAAGTGGGCCGGCTCACTGGAAGATCTCACTGCAGCCATGAGCAGTAAAGAATACGCCAACTGCGGACGCTCTGGCCCCTTGGCCCGGGGATGCCATAGAGGAGGACAAGCTCGAGGGCGCAGAGGTAGAGGCCGTGACCGAGGTTTTCAGTGCACTTCCGCCACCCTACGTGACATCTGTTACCGCTGCGGTGAGGCTGGTCATCATGCTAGGGACTGTGACTCTCGCGAGGACATCTGCTACAACTGTGGGAAAAGAGGCCACATCGCCAAAGACTGTGTCAAGCCTAAGCACGTGAGAGAGCTGTGCTGTTACGCTTGTGGCAGACGAGGCCATCTTGCTCGTGATTGTGACCATCCAGAAGAGCAGAAGTGCTACTCTTGTGGCGAATATGGTCACATTCAGAAATATTGCCCTGAAATCCAGTGCTACCGGTGTGGTGAGGCCGGCCATGTGGCCGTGAACTGCACCAAGACAATTGAGGTCAAGTGCTACCGCTGTGGGGAGTATGGACATTTAGCCGCAGAATGCCCCACTGAAGCTACCACTTAATTTTTTGCCTTCGTGCCCCCCGCCTTTTGCTGATTGATAATTGTATTATTTTTCTCTGAAACCTCTTCACTGACGGAAGATTGATAGATGGAGGCTACTCCCAGGCCAGTTACCTTTAATTATCATGTTAAAGGAGGAAAGGGCTAGAAAAAATCTCACTTGTAGGTGTCGTAAATTAATGTGTTTCTGTACCACTAGTAAATATGCTTATTAAACAGTCATTCTGAGCCTAAGACAATTTCTAGGTTCTTTGGAGCATTTTTATTTAAGCTCCAATGAAGACCTACTGTATGCCAGCTACTATTGAAGCAGCTGGGGGACATTAGTAAATAAATCAGAACAAGTTTGAGAACAAAGACCTAGAATCCATTAACAAATAAAATATGAATTGTGTCAGATGAAGATAAATTGCTACAGAGAAAAAGATCACCAAGTAAAAGGATAGAGACTGTGTATGTTGGCATAGGGGGCACAAATGATTCTCTTTTAGATACGCAGGCACCCTGAGGAAGTGACATTTCCTCAGAGATTCATTGCATAAATAAAGCTAATTCTAGAAATGACTATGACTTTGACAAAGTAACTTTATTATGTATTGATTGCTTTGAATTATTTGACTTCATTAGCTTTTAAATACATTAAAAGACATCACTCTCTGGCCCTACATAGAGTGTATAGTTTAATGAAAATAAACCAGAAAAAATATGTATAATATGTTTAAAGAGCTTAAATAGAGCAATGAGAAAAAACCAACTAAACAAAAAAGCCTTAGTAGCAAATTGTGAGCAAAAAGATATTGATGGCAAGGTTTGAACTTATATGCTTTTAAAAATCTAAGAACATAAGTATAAACATTAAGATTAAACATAGATTGGGCTTTCAGTAATTTCAAAAGTACATATTTTTACAGATTCAAAAATTATATTTATGTTTAGGAGTTTCTGAAAAATGTGTTTTCAAAGGTATGAAAATGTTAAGTTTTATATGCTGAAATCTATTTTTAAAAATTGTATCTGAAAAACAACTGAAGTTCTATAAAATAGAGAAGGTGCTTTTAAATGATAAATAAAACCTACATTGGGGGAGGTAACTATTGTGTCAAGAGAGAATTTAAATTGTAATGAAAAATGGTTTAGAAAATAATGATTACAAAACTACACATCAAACTCAGAATGTAAGAGAATTTATAGCAGAAAAAAGAGTGTACAGGACAAAATTTTGGCCCATAAACTCAAATAGTACAAGAAATGTAACAAAGTCACATTCTTTTATGAACCTTCATAATAGTTGATATGTAACCCTTTATTCCCACATGAGAAACCTCTTCAATTCAGCTAAGTTTCAACTTCTATGACCCTCCTGGGCTTCAAGAAATTGATTCTGTCCTTTTCTGTGCTGTTTCAGCAAGATAAACTCAGGCATACTGCCTGCTCCTAAATGGGGCAACCCCAATCCAATCTGCCAAGACACAACATGAAATACATATATTACACTAAGGCAAACAAATTCTTCAGTCTCATCATAGTTGCTGAACTCTGTTTAGGAAAGGAGAAACACAAGACCGTGCTTTTGAATCTCCCAAAACCATCTGGAGTTTCATTTCCCATGTCCTCAGAAGTTTGGCCCAGAGTTGGAAGGGGAAGAGGCTATGTCCCTTTATTGTGGACACACTCAGCATTTAAGTGCTCTTTACATTATCTCTTAAATTTAGTTTGACCTACACATTGTTTAACAATATTCATGAATTAGATGCCAACATTTAAAAATTGGGACATTTCCCATAGAAAATCTTATTTTTTTGTCTCTCTAGACAAAATATAAAGATCAAGAAGCAATAGGCACCCATTTCTGTGTGGAAACTTCCAGCCAAAGATGAATAGCAGTTTCTCCCTACAAGTCACAAATTTCCCCCTTTAACTCTAGCACCTACTATATTCCCCATAGTCTTGCAAAAGTCCCAGCTAGCACTGTTGACTCATTTACTTTACCTGCCAGGCCCCACTAGCCACTTCTTTATAGCAAACCTCTCCTGTATGTTTGGGGATGGGGTAGGCAATTATATAACATTCACCACACAAATTTAGTTGAAACTGTAAAATCCTCATATTAATAGATACAAACAAGAAAGCAGATTATCAATAGAGAGTAAAGAAGCATTTTATAAAATTCAAGCTTCTTCCTGATTTACAAACATCAACAACAACAACAGAAAGATATCTTAGAAAACAAATTAAAATAAAGCTAATGGGGTATCTTCTTCCAAGGGGATGGAATAGATGTACTTTTACCTATTCTTCCTGTTCAGTGCAACTAAAACCCTGAACAGTATGTATAAAACAAACATAAGACACAGAAAGATGGAGAAAAAAAGATAGGCATGGGGCCTTTGGATCAAAAGAACTACATAGTGGTGAATTCCCAGGGTTTTGTTTTTTTGCTTCGTATATCCCTGACTTAAAACTGAAGAGTCCAGCAATGCAGAAATTTCAACAAGCACAGACCTAAAAAGCCCTAACAAAAAACCCTGCTCTCACTAGCCAAAGACACTGGAAGAGCAGTCTAGAAAGACAAAACTGGTCTACTTGAGCCAAATAACACAAGTAAAACTATGGCCTCACCCTCAACACCCTCCTAAGGCCTAGTGGGGAGCTTAAATTTATGAGGGAACAACCCCGTAAAGCTACAACAAGGTGCCCCAGTACCTTGTCAGAGTACTGTCCAGAGAAGGTCCCGCAGTAACAAAGTGGATCATTTTTTAAAACTATGCATTTTATTGATTATGCTATTAAAGTTGTCCCATTTTTTCCTCCCCTTTATTCCCCTCCACCCTGCATTGGCCCTCCCCTCAGCACTACCCCTCCCACCACCACCACCTTAGTTCATGTCCACAGGTCGTACATATAAGTTCTTTGGCTTCTCCATTTCCTATACTATTCTTAATCGCCCCCTGCCTATTTTGTACCTACTATTTATGCTGCTTATTCTCTGTACCTTTTTCCCCATTCTTCCCCCTCCCTCTCCCCTCTGATCTCCATTTCTATGACTAAGTTCCTGTTGTTCGCTTACGTTGTTTTTGTTTTTTTAGGTTCAGTTGTTGATAGTTGTGAGTTTGTTGTCATTTTATTCTTTATAGTTTTTGATCTTCTTCTTTTTCTTAGATAAGTCCCTTTAACATTTCATATAATAAGGGCTTAGTGATGATGAACTCCTTTAATTTTACCTTATCTGGGAAGCATTTTATCTGCTCTTCCATTCTAAATGATAGCTTTGCTCGATAGAGTCATCTTGGATGGAGGTCCTTGCCTTTCATGACCTTGAATACTTCTTGCCAGCCCCTTCTTGCCTGCAAGATTTCTTTTGAGAAATCAGCTGATAGTCTTATGGGAACTCCTTTGTAGATAACTCTCTCCTTTTCTCTTGCTGCTTTTAAGATTTTCTCCTTATCTTTAATCTTGGGTAATGTAATTATGATGTGCCTTGGTGTGTGCTTCCTTGGATCCAACTTCTTTGAGACTCTCTGAGCTTCCTGGACTTCCTGGAAGTCTCTTTCCTTGGCCAGATTGGGGAAGTTTTCTTTCATTGTTTTCTCAAATAAGTTTTCAATTTCTTGCTCTTCCTCTTCTTCTGGCACCCCTATGATTCAGATGCTGGAAGTTTAAAGTTGTCCCAGAGGTTCCTAAGCCTCTCATGTTTTTGAATTCTGGTTTCTTCCTTCTGTTCTGGCTGAATGTTTATCTCTTCCTTCTGTTCCCAATCATCGATTTGAGTCCTGGTTTTCTTCCCTTTACTGTTGGTTCCCTGTATATTTTTCTTTATTTCACTTTGCATAGCCTTCACTTTTCCCTCCATTTTGCGACCATACTCAACCAATTCAGTGAGCATCCAGATCACCAGTGTTTTGAACTGTGTATCTGATAGGTTGACTATCTCTTCATTGCTTAGTTCTATTTTTGGAGCTTTGATCTGTTCTTCCATTTCGGCCATATTTCTTTGTCTCAGTGAGCCTGTTACATTGGAGGGGGCAGAGCCTTAGGTATTCACCAGGGCAGGGCAACCTAAGTCGCTGCATTGTGATGCTGTGTGTGAGGGAGGGGTCCATGAGGGAACAATGCTGCTTGCTTGGCTCTTGGTTGGCTTTCAGTCACTTTCCCCACTACCAAGCAAATTGGGCCCTTCTAGTGCTGATTCTCAGGTGGGTAGGTTTTGTATGTTCTAGGACCCTGTGGGTCTCTCCAATGGACTTTCCTGAGAGGCTGGGAGTTTCTCCTGCCACTGCTACCCCCGCCCCAGGTCTTTACCGCCAGGGGTTTTGAGGCTTTCTTTTCCCTACACTGGAACCCTGGATTGTGTGGCCTGTCTCGCTCCCAGCTGTTCATTACAGTTTATCCACACGCAAATGTGGGACTACCCGGTCTTTCAACCACCTCCTTGCTGCACGGCCTCTCCACCCCAGCTGCCCGTCTCCACCCCTCCTACCAGTCTGGATGAATGTTTCTTCTTTAACTCCTTGGTTGTTGGACTTCCATACAGTTCAATTTTCTGGCAGTTCTGGTTATTTTTTGTTTTTAAATTTGTTGTTGTCCTTCTTTTGGTTGTGCAAGGAGGCAAAGTGTGTGTACCTACTCCTTCATCTTGGCCAGAAGTCCACGAAACGGGTCTTTGAAAAGATTGTAAAAGTTGACAAACCTCCAGCAAGACTAACAAAAAAAATAGAATAGATAAATTACCAGTATTAAGAATAAAATAGCCCTGGCTGGTGTGGCTCAGTGGATTGAGTGCCGGCCTGTGAACCAAAGGGTCATGGGTTTTATTCCCAGTCAGGGTACATGCCTGGGCTGTGGGCCACGTCCCCAGTAGGGGGCGCATGAGAGGCAACCACACATTGATGTGTCCCTCTCCTTCCCTTCCCCTCTCTCTAAAAATAAATTTAAAATAAAATCTTTTAAAAAAGAGAATAAAATAAAGGCTGTCACACAGGCCTTGAAGACATCAAAGGAATA